AAACGATTACAAACTAAAAATAGTGATTCTGAGTAAAAGCAAAATTGAAATACAATAAAGCAATCACTGATACCGGATGATGCAGCATTGGTCAGAACTTGAAAATTCGCTAGCTGCGTAGTTGGAGAACCAAACTTCAGAATAACAGTCCTAGGTATCTTCTGTTCTGAGACCATTTGCTTCAAATCTGCACTGTCCAGTAGCCCAGCTAAGGCCCGATAAAGAAAAAAGTAATAATTTTACCCGCCAAAACTTTTATAGGGTAGTACGTGTTACCAGCCAGCAAGGGAAGGCTAAATTTAAATTTGCGGGATCGTACATGGGCGGGGAACATGTCTCTAAATTTTCGGCTACCTAGCTTTTGTGGTTCCCGAGTTGAAAGTTGCGGACAAGTTGCTGCAGACGCACGCACACACACACACACACACACACATACACATACACACAGACACATACACATACATACATATACACACAAACCACCGTGTGACAATATGCGTTTTGTGCAGCTGTTGCAAAGCAAAAAAGGCATAAAAATAACTGCATGCAATATTCGATCGATCACAACCTGGAAAAAACATTGAAAACAGGCGAAACGGTGCATTTCGAAGCACAGAACAGATAATTTCAAAAGCGCAAAGCATAAATACAGGAAATCACCCAGAAAATCACAAGAATCACCCACTGTGTCTTTTTCATTGGCCACCACCAACGGCAGATACGTTCGAATCTTTAGTGGTTGAGCCGGAACTTTGTTGTCGGCCAATCTGTTGTGATGGAGCTGACGCATTTCCGATGCTGTTTCCAATGCTATTGCCACCACTACTGTACAGACCTATACCAGGTTCACCAATAGGTGCACTGCAAAAAAAAAAGTGTGCTAATAAGAGTTTCAGAGTGTGTTGTGTTTTAATAAGGGCAGACAATTTCGTAATCCATGTTAGTTTTGATTTTTCCTTCCCTTTTCTTTTTTTTTGCATGTTTTTTTATCCTACCTCATCACGCGTCCACGCTATTTTCATTGAAACATGGTGGTTAGGGGGCTGTACTGATGATTCCCGCCTCAAATCACGTCTCCCGCTCCTGTGTTTACAGCTTAGGAATGAAACACAGGTAAGCTGCTTTCCACATGCACCACTTTACATGTCCTCTTCACATGACACACTGTTTTTTGTACGCGTGCAACACCCCTATCTTCTTTACCTCATTTTATTTCCCTCCCCCTTCCAACTGAATAAAATGGTCGCCGGATTTTGGATCGACGCCGTCTTATCGACGGCCTATTTAGAATCAACCAGTACCGCTGCAGTCCCTACTGATTCCTACTTCCTCTCGTTCACAGGGCCCGAACGGTCCATGAGGCCTTTTACTTATGCACAAAGGAACTGATAACTAAGCGTCTTTTTCCCCTCACACAGTTTTGTATAAGGAATGTATGCTTTATAACACGGGTGGGTAATCGGCGGCCCGCGGAGGGAATCCGAATGTAGTGCCTACCTAGATGAACGGGAGTTTGTATTCCGCTACGCCTCTGCACTCTCATGAAAATAAATAAAACTAAAATAGGCATGAGGACAACAGACAACAATTTGGAAAATACTTTGAGACTCTGTGTTAGTGATATAAATTCAGATTTCAGCAATCTTGTATCAAAAGTTCAAGCCCAAAGCTCACATTAACCTGCTGTTGGTTATTTTTTTTCCTGAATGAACAACCTGATAAAAACTTATCTGCTTTTATGTGTTTGCTTTTATGTGTTTTTGTATGTTATGCAAATGCAAAACGCATAATTTCGAGAGAATGTGTTTGTGTGTTCAGCAATGAATGAACTTTGTCATACACTTTCAACTCAGTAACGAGGAGAGCCATTATGCAACACTACCGTCCCAGCCAATGCTTTTTTTCCTCACATGTAAGAAAAGACCAAAAAAGGCACATGAGTTGCATGTGTTAAATTGTAGAGAAACAACCATTCATACTGTTATTGATCTGAATGCGTTAAGTTTCGCGCAAAAACGCATGGTCGCACGGACAAGCCTGGTGTGTTGCTACTTGAGCTTTATTAAACGGTGGCCCGCGAACTTAAGTAAGTATGCAAATCAGGCCCGCATGTCGCCAAAGGCTGCCCATGCCTGCTTTATAACAATAAGTTAGCAAATCTCCCCACAAAACTCGTACGTGCTCGCACATGACAACCACACGTGTCTAGGGTGTGAATTTGAAATCTTTACCTTGCACGTGAACAGGGATATCCCCTTAAAATTTCAGCTTTTTAACTTTTCTGGTTCCCGAGTTAGCAGTTTTCGCGCCAAAAATTTCACGTGCCTGTACACGGGGCTCTTGCATATAATCTTTCCTCAAACACACTTTTACAGGTACACTCTCGCAATGAATTTTTTGTTTGCTCACCCCGAAAGCTCCCTTTGTAGCTCTGCCATATGTTGATGTGCTTGAGCATAAAATGACATTTGCGATTCGATAAAATCGCGCAAACATTTCAGCTGATTGTTCTGAAAGCAAAAAAAGGAGGTCTGATAACAGTTAAAAAAATTATCAAACCAAAAAAAAAAAATAATTTTTGTACCAGTACGGAGAATTCGGGGGGAAGTCCTCTATGATTCGTTCATTCGTTTCAATGGTAAATTGGTACTTTCCTACTACCAGGGTAGTAAAATCTGTCATCAACTTGCTTGTAAGCAACTTTTTAAAAACCGCACCATCGACAATCGTGCCGGCGAATGACTACTGCTGGCATTTCGGTTAATTCCTGAGTGTCTTCAAGTCTGTCATAGAAAGAGGAGGTTTTTGGACTTTTGAATTCGACAAAGAATTTTAAAAAAAACACACATACATGTGCAGTTTGGATTCCTTCAAGAAGTAATTTCGTAATTTCGGCTTGCTTGTCAAATTCCGCTTGTGCAACACGCAAATCAGCTTCTGCCTGAAAATAATCAACTTTAGAGCTACCAAAACAAGTTCCTTTAACGGCCCAATTAGTCAAATCCATGGAAATATGATTCTCT